ATTGGATGAGGAGGAGGATGCCAAAATTCTCTGGAAAATCACAAAATGGCTGGGTGGCAAGAAGGGGAACATCCTAACTCTGCTGTTATCCTGAAGCAATTCTTAGTACCAGGGAATCATGAACCCTTATAACTCAGATATTTATCCATCTCCTTCCAACTGTGGATCAGCATCCAACTTCCATACCAGTCCACAGAGTGACTGTAATAACAAGGGCAAGAGACCAGTGGTCCTTTGTACAGACCCGCACCCTGCATGTTGAAGATCTGCTCTACACAACCTGAAATCAGAATTGACTAGAATGTTAAAAAACTGGATTCAGACTCTGGTAATACAATCTCAGGTCTATCACGCTTCTGAGCTGAAGTTCACTGAAGGAAGTTGGAAAGATGAGAAAGTCCTGACAGAATACATTGCTTCAAGGTCTCCTAAGGAATTGATGGCCACTAGGCAAATCTATGAAGAAGAGTATAGCTCAATTCTAGTGGTTGCTGGTGGGTGACATTTTTGGGCAGAGTATGTCGGTGCTTTGTCTTTGGATCACTAGAGACCTTGGTGCTGGAGTTGATAAAGCTCGGGTTGAACAAGATGTTTCAGGCTAGAGAACTGAAATGAAGGCTGATGAGGAAAATTTATCATCATCTTAAGAATATGAAGTGTATCTCACTTGAGAAAGGTATTTTATCAATACAAGAGCAGATCCAGATTTCAAATTATGAAAAGCAATGAACAAATTACCAGATATATCTCTGGTAATTTAAAGCAACTATGATATAGTAGTTCCACCTCAAGATGTAGTCAGAAAAGAATAGAAGGCATCACATTGAAGAAATATTTGAAAATCCATTTGCACATCAGCATTGTCAGCAACAGCTAATATTGAAAACAACACAAGCATCTATTGATGAATGCATGAATAGACAGACCAAAACTGGTATATCCACACAATGGAATATTTTTTTACTTAAAAAAATAAAGGAAAATTCATCTCATCGTCGGCCACCATCCAAATCATATGTCCTTCTCTCCTGGAAGGGAACATAACGTGACACTCACCATAAACATGCTGCCCGACCCCGCGCCAGGCTGTTTCACTCAGGGCACCCCGGAGGGGGACTGGTGAAAGCCCTCCCTACCCCAAGGTACCCAGTACTGGCAGACAAAAACCTCCAGAACTCAACCACTGCCAAGCTCACGGCTGCTCTCCACACGCTCGGGCAGAGCCTCACCCGTGAGTGAACCTATTTCACACCACCCATACTCCAAGAGTACACTGCACCACATTTGATGAGGTTCAAAGCAGGAGGCAACCAATCTTAGAGGGAAATATTTTTTTACACACACACATACATACACACATACATACATACATATATACATACATATATACATACATATACATATGTATATATAAGCACACAAGGCTCAACCTTTAATAACTTTTAACAATATGTTAGTGATCTCTTATAGAAAGGCTTAATGGCCCCTGGGTGAAATACAACAATCTTCACACTCTTTCCTCAAGGATACTTTTTTGTAACATTTTCAGCTGTTTTTTCATAATTCAGGTAGCAACTCAGCGCACATGCATTTTATTTTACTAGCATCAAGCCTTGAGGTTCTGTGAACAGTGAACTTCTAGTGACAAACATGAGGTCAGGTCTTGAGTCAAACTGATTCTAATAAATACCACCCTTGAAACTTTGTGGGAACCTTGTAGTCCACTTCCTGGTGTGTCTTAGTATTGTTACTGATTTAAGTTTCTTTCTTTTGGATGATCTGTGCTAAGAAACTTAGGAAGTCTTGCCAAATTTTTGCAAATTATTACAATTAACAATTACCAAATACAGTTGATATCACCTGTGTATGAAACAAAGTCTGGAGAATTTCAGGCTAGAACTCCTGAATATTTCAATTAGATCCCTTCTTGCAACTGAGATTTATAGACTTGAAATTTTATTGACATGATGCTAATGTATCTTGCACCAACGGGATCAAAGTTCTATAGAACTGAACATTCTTCGTGGCATATTGCAAAACTAAATTTGTCTCTCTGTATGCCAGGGTCTATGCTGTTCTACATATATTGTTTTATTCCCATCATAATTCTTTAAGGTTATGGGTTATCAATTTTATCTTACAGAAAAAGACAGCAGCGTTAAGTTTCATAGCATAGATGTGGCTCAGTGCCCCTGGGCTGGTGTGTTCATGGGTCTCTCCATTTTTAGCGCTTGAGCTCCCCAGAACATGAAATCAATTGCTTTTTCCTGACTTGATCATGAATTATTCTGGTTGATGCAGCACCAACCAGATTGTTGAGTAACCAAAATCTCTATCCTGTGAGTCTGATTTTCATCTTTATAATAAATGCCAGTGAGTCAGTTCATGGTGGAAATTTCCTCCTACATTCTGGGATTTTCTTGGGCTGGAAGAATAATCAAATGAATATGAGACATATTTGTAGAAGAGAAAACACAAAAATTTTATTATGTAGATACAAGAAATCTAAATATAATTGGTTTGTGAAGACTGTGAGGCAATGACCTCTGGAATGAGTTATGAACCTAGAACTTCAAGTAAGTAGGATGGAGTAAGTTAGACGAGGAGGAGACGATGATTCATATGACAAAGAGTAGATAGATGCTCTGTAATCAGATGTTTACCCTGCCATGGAGACATATTCTTCGATAAACAATATTATTTCTGGGAATAACTCTTGTTCTGGGTAAGACAAACCTGACTTTCCAATTTTCAATCTTTTATGTAAAGGATTGGTACAATGGGTTTTCATGATGCTTCAACTGACCTCAGTTTGAAACTGAAGGCAGGAGTAGCTTAGCTTGCAGAAGCCGACCCTTTAGTCCTTAGAGATTTTCAGGGGCTAAGGATATGGCTGTAGCACTGTCCTCCCATTGTTGATCGATTTGCTCGAGTGGGCACCTGGAGCAATAGTACAGCGGGTAGGGCATTTGCCTTGCACATGGCCTACCCGGGTTCAATTCCTCCATCCCTCTCGAAGAGCCTGGCAAGCTACCAAGAGTATCCTGCCTGCATGGCAGAGCCTTGCAAGCTCTCCGTGGCGTAGTTGATATGCCAAAACCAGTAACAAGCCTCACAATGGAGACATTGGTGGTGCCCGTTCGAGCAAATCAAACTGGACAACAGTGCTACAGTGCAAGGATAGAGCTCAAGTGGTAGAGCACAAGCCTTATAGGATGAGAAATGAAGATGTGAAAATGTAAAAAAGTGAGTTTTTTAAAGTTGCACATAGCATTTTCTTTAATAAAACTAAGCTTTTAGATCCCTGAAATTTTTTCTCTGTGAAAAACTCAAATTATTTGTGTTATCTACAAAATAAACGTATGTATACCTTGCTCTGGTATTTTGTAGATTCACAAATTTTATTAAATTTCACTAATTCAAAATTTTATAAATGTTTCCTTTTGAAGGAAATTGCTTAGACATTTAGATGTCTAAAAATGTTTAGACATATACATATTTTGAATTAAAACAACTTAATCCAAAAATTTAACAATTTGTAATCTTAACAATAGGAATTTTATAATTTACTCAGAAAGGTCCAGAAAAACTTTTAATGACATAAATATGGTAAATTACGAAAGAAGTAAAAAAAAGCACTTAGAGTAACAAAGATTCTTCTTTTCATTTTTGTTTTAGACTATAGCTGGCAGTGCTCAGGACTTACTCCTGGTTTTATACTCAGTGATCACTCAAGGATGCCAGGGACTGCATGAGCCAGGTGCAAGGCAAGTGCCCTATTCATTGTCCTATCACTCCAGCCCTTGGAGTAGTAACATTCTTAAAAGTTGTTGCAACAGGGTGAGAATTTGACTCAGTGGTAGAACACATGTGGAATGTGTGAGGCTCTTGGTTTGATCCCCAACACTGAACAAGAGAAATAAAAGTTGGTATGTTCAGGTATTCGGATGCCAGGGGGATCCTACTGGCGATTCTTGCCCAACCAGGCCAGCAGTTCAAGGTAAAAGTTTGAGGATGTGGTGCTGTGTGGGTCTCAAGGAGTCACAGATTACACAGGCCCAGTAGTTTCTGGGGTTGACCCAACAGTGCTCGGGGAACACCATGTGATACTGGGATTCATGTTGGGGTCTTCAGTATGCAAGGTATGTGCCTTAACCCTTGCACTATCTCTGCAGCCCTAAACTATTCCTTTTTTCCCATTAATTTATTTTGTGGAGCCAGGGATTGAGCACAAAGCTTCACACATGTGATATGTGTACTTTATACTGCTGAACTATATTCCTGACTCAGTTATTATTTTTAACTGTCTTCAGTTATGCAATATCTAACCTGTTCTCTTGATTCTAGAAATGATCTTCCTAACTTTTTTCTCCTCTAAATATAAGCCTTTTATTACAGGTAACAATATGGATATAGATAATAATTCTGGTTGGGATTAGTTGCCATGGAGGCTAACAGAGAATATATGCTGTAAAATGTGTGGCGTTCTGAAACAATCTATAAGAAACAATCTAGAGTTAGTAAGAAAGCAGACAATACAATTTCCACTTAAAATACTTCACAGTTGTTTTTCTTTTAGCAGAGTCAGGGCCTCACCTGTATGAAGCTGGCCCTCTAGTTTTATATAATATTCCTTATATTATGCAGTGTTAAAAAAAGTGAAGTTCCAACTGCTCATGTTATGTTTCAGGACCTACGTGAAACAAGTGCCTGATAGCAACAATGAAATGCACAATAAGGTAAAGGCCCTCCCGTTGATCGTCGATTTGTTTGAGCGGGCCCAGTAACGTCTCCATTGGAGACTTTATTGTTACTGTGTCTGGCATATGCCAGAAATGCACAATAAAACAGAAATACTTAAAGTAAGATTTTATTTGGTCAATTTTAGAAAACACTCAAAAATTTCTCTCAAGAGAGGAAATAATCTATAATCTAACCATTTAATGTTGCCCAACTATATGCTAGTAGAGACCCACTTTAATTTCTTCATGGGTCTGTCTTCTTGAAGAAACTAAGCTTCATTGGTATACTCCCCCACCTTACATGAAAGTGACTGCACCTTTAAAGATACGTTACTTCTTATTGGCAATATAAATAATTTTGTGCTTTTCAATGGCAGCGATATCATGTTCCAGTTGCTTCATTTCTTCTTCCAGTCTTTGCTTGTGCATCTTCTTGGGGATTGAGTCGATGAAGACTGAGAGGGACTGGAACTCTTTATGCACCTCTTCCCAGTTTTTCTTCAGCCCCTGCCAATGGTGGAGAAAATGGTAACAATGACAGCAAGTCCCCCAAAGCAACATATATTGTAAGAGTGAAAGAAACATAAAGCAAAGCTCTGAAAAGGAAAATGTAAATCGTTAAACAAAGAGACTTTGAACAATGACATGTACTTAGTCACAGCAACAGAAAAACACTATACAGACACCTGACCCAGGCCTTGCCCGTACACTCCATTCCTGTTGGGAATATTTGTTTGCTCTGTTTTTAGTGTTACTGTACTTATTTTGACCACTGAATACACATACACAGAGTTAGGAGTTGTAAGAAATGAAGCTCAGACAAATGCTTTGGTAAAAACTTAAAATTAATAGTCCCACGCAAAATAAAAAATTGAACAAGAAACTATTCTAAAATCTTCCTTCCTTCCTTCCTTCCTTCCTTCCTTCCTTCCTTCCTTCCTTCCTTCTTTCATTTGTTTGATTTTTGGGCCAAACCCAGTGATGCTAAAGGGTTACTCCTGGCTCTGCACTCAGGAATCACTCCTGGCGGTGTGCAGGGAACCATATGGTATGCTGGGTATCAAATCCAGGTCAGTCATGTGCAAGGCAAGTGCCCTACCTGCTGTACCATCTCTCATGCACCTGGGTTTTTTCTTTAGAGTTTTCTTTTTTTTTTCTTTTTTCTTTTTTTGGCCACACCCAGTGATGCACAGGGGTTACTCCTGGCTCTGCACTCAGAAATCACTCTTGGCAGTGTGCAGGGGACCACATGGAATGCTGGGATTCGAACCTAGGTTGGCCGTGTGCAAGGCAAATGCCCTACCCACAGTGCTATTGCTCCAGCCCCAGAGTTTTCTTTTTAAAAAATCATTAGCCTCAATGGTATCTTCAAAGATGCCACGCCACTGGCCAAGCGAGTGAAAACAGAGATAGATAAATGGGACTATCTTAAACTAAGAAGCTTCTGCACCTCCAAAGAAACAGTGACCAAAATACAAAGACAGTCTACAGAATGGGAAAGGATATTCACCGAATACACATCTGACAAGGGGTTGATATCCAGGATATACAAAATACTGGTTAAACTCCACAAGAAGAAAACATCCAACCCCATCCAAAAATGGGGCAATGAAATGAACAGAAACTTTCTCAAAGAAGAAATCCGAATGGCAAAAAAGCACATGAGAAAATGCTCTACATCATTAATCATCAGGGAGATGCAGATCAAAACCACAATGAGATACCATCTCACACCTCAGAGACTGGCCCACATTCAAAAGAACAAAAGCAACCGATGCTGGCGTGGATGTGGCGAGAAAGGGACACTCCTTCACTGTTGGTGGGAATGTTCACTGGTTCAGCCCTTCTGGAAAACAGTATGGACGATTCTCAAAAAATTAGAAATTGAGCTCCCATTTGACCCAGCAATACCACTCCTGGGAATATATCCCAGAGAGGCAAAAATGTATAGTCGAAGTGACATCTGCACTTGTTTGTTCATTGCAGCCCTCTTTACAATAGCCAGAAACTGGAAGAAACCTGAATGCCCAAGAACAGATGACTGGTTAAAGAAACTTTGGTACATCTACACAATGGAGTACTATGTAGCTCTTAGAAAAGATGAAGTCATGAACTTTACATACAAGTGGTACAATATGGAAAGTATCATGCTAAGCGAAATGAGTCAGAAAGAGAGGGATAGACATAGAAAGATTGCATTCATCTGGGGGATATAAAGTAACAAAGTATGAGATTAATACCCAAGAATAGCTGAGATCAGCACCAGGAGGATTACTCCATAACTTAGAGGCCAGCCGGGTATCCTAGAGGAAAGGGCTATTCAGATAGAGAAGGGAGCACCAAATAAAGGATGTTTGGAGGATCCTCCCAGGAGGGGAGATGCATGTCGAAAGTATACTATGGACTGAACATGTTTGCCACTCAATGCCTCTTTTGCAGACCACAACACCCAAAAGGAGAGAGAGAACACAGGGGATTGCCCTGCCACAGAGACGGGGGGATGGGGGGATGGGGGTGGGAGGGATATTATCCATGGTGGTGGAAAATGGGCACTGGTGGAGGGATGGGTATCTGATCATTGTATAATTGAAACCAAAGCACAAAAAATTGTAAATCTACAACTTTAAAAAAAATAAAATAAAATAAAGGGGAAAAAAAAAATCATTAGCCTCATTCTGAAATACGAATATGACATTAAAAGTTTGTATTCTGACTTGCCAGGTCAGATTCTCTAATCTTTGACTAAATAGAATTGTATAAAAATTCCAAAGTTTATTTTTTACAAGATCTTTTGATTTTATTTTTGTTTTGGGGTAGTACCCATTAGTACTCAGTACTTACTCCTGGCTCTCTCCTGATGCCTGTATAGGGTATTGGCCTTATGCAAAGCAAATACTCTATCCATTGTATTATCTCTCTGGCTCATTCACAAGATCTTTATGTCTCTTTTAATGTACTATAAAGAATTCTTCCTCTATATAGTCAAGGGACCTCTACGTCCCATTAATGTATAGCAGAAATCTCCGAAATGTCATTAAATGTAATGCTTGTGCCAATTCAATAGTGTAGTTAATATTCTATATTCTCAGAACCAACAAATTTAAAATAAGGGATCTCTTGGGAGCAATAAAGTTTATTTCCATCTCTGTGCAGTTTCCATTTTTAGTATAGGGCACTAGAGGCTCAATGACAAAATGGTCTAAGGTACTAATTGAATTCAGGCAATGAAATCTTACAAGTTAAGTGCACTAATCATTTTATTCATACAAATCATTTTATTCAAACAAAAGCAAAAACGGAAAGCATAATTTAAAATGTTGCATTGAAAACCAATGTAGTGCATTTAGTTTTAAAAGATTAGGAATATCTTTAGGGCTGGAGCAATAGCACAGCGGTAGGGCGTTTGCCTTGCACGCAGCCAACATGGTCGACCCGAGTTCGATTCCTCTGCCCCTCTTGGAGAGCCCGGCAAGCTACCGAGAGTATTCGATATGCCAGACACAGTAACAACAAAGTCTCCAATGGAGACGTTACTGGGCCCACTCGAGCAAATCGACGATCAACGGGAGGGCCTTTACCTTTACCTTTACCTTAAATCGGCAGTCATAAAAATCCCATCCATAGTCACATGCATCTTTTGAATCCCTTTACTTTTCTTTCTTTCTTTCTTTCTTTCTTTCTTTCTTTCTTTCTTTCTTTCTTTCTCTTGTTCTTTTTTCTTTAATCTTTTTTTTTTTTTTGCTTTTTGCGTCACACCTGGTGATGCTCAGGGGTTACTCCTGGTTTGGCACTCAGGAATTACTCCTGGCAGTTCTCAGGGGACCATATGGGATGCTAGGAATCGAACCTGGGTCAGCCACGTGCAAGGCAAATGCCCTCCCCACTGTACTATCGCTCCAGCCTCTTGAATCCTTTTTCATTCCCATCAATTCTCCACCTTCTTGCCCTGCTCTGTGACTGGAGGTGGTAGGGACTGATTCTGGGGGATTCTCTCCCGGTCCCCTTCCCCGTCCCCTGAAACTCCAGTCTTGTAGCCCTTTTGTCCTCCAGTTTCTCAGTTTAGCCAATGGTGATTCTGGTGGGAGGAGGGAGAGGTGGGGTATTTTCCCCTTAGTCTATGACATTAACCTGGACACTGGTTCTGGCTTATCTAAAAGGGATGACAATGCCTGTCCACTGCCTTTCTTCCAGCCTCCAGCTCTCACTGGACTCTGGGCAGTATGAGTCTTACCCCTGCTCTGCTAGGGTAACTGTGGGTTCTCACGTTTGTAGCCTAGGGGTGCCGCGGTGCTCCTTTCGGGTCCCCTTCACCCTGCTTTTGCTCCTGTCAATAGAAGTGTCTTCATAAACTCTCTTGAGAGTTTCGGCGAGCATTTTTGGGACTTCCTGCAGGAGCTCTGTTGGTGCCCCACCTTTTCCCTGACATAGGTGGGAGTGGACTCAGGCCCAGAGCTGAGTCCATGCACAGGCTAGTTTCCTCTGGCTACTTGCTAATTTGTGGACAAGGGCAAGCTAAACCAAGCTCTAGGTCTGTGATAGTGCTCACTACAGTGCCCTCCAGGGTGGGCACAGTGAACACTATAGGCTCCCTAAATGAATCAATGGATGGATAAACAAAGGAGTCCACTAAACCACTAAACGAGACCTTGGACTTTATGTCCTCCTGTCTGGGATCATCCTTCCTGGTAGAATCTGACTGCTGTTTTATGAAGAATCAGGACACACAAACACACTAATTCTTAACCCAGGGAGAGAAGCATGGCTCAGGATTTGTCAAGCCCATGACTAGAGACTTTCTTACCCTGGCAGCTGTACAACCTGGATAAGAAGCCATCCAAGACTTCCGACAGTCACTCCCAAGGCTATGCAGAGATGCTATAACCAACATATAGGAAGCTGACAGGTGCTTTATCTCGAAAAGAGCACACCCTCTTCCTTCTGAGAAGTTCCCTCTCTCTACGTTTTCAGCATCATTTAGTCAACTTTGGGATTTAAGGATAATCATGTTGATGGGGAGGGAAGGGGGAGACAGACAGAGAGAGAGAGAGAGAGAGAGAGAGAGAGAGAGAGAGAGAGAGAGAGAGAATGGGGCACCAACCAGGTCTCTGAAACTGTCAAGCAATGTCCCAGTTTTGCCCACTGGTTTCCTGCCTGCCCAGCTACCTTTTCCCTTTCCTCACGCCATTACTAAACATCAGTATTTATATTGGGCTCTGGGCTAGATACTGGGGATACTTCTGTAACTGAGACACAGACCTGCCCTTAAGTCACTCCTCTTGTCTGGAACTCCCCCTTGCTCTGCAGTTGAAATCCAGCTAAACAGGGCCACCTTTTGGTGGAGACTTATGCATGGGAGCTTTGGTGGAGACTCATGCATGGGAGCTTTATGAAAACTACAATTCCTGCATGCACACACAGCCATGCATAAGCATATATATCACCTCTCATCAATTCAACAATAACATCCTCTCCACCAGAAATTTTATCTTATGTCTCTGTTAAGATCCTTGGGACTTACCATGGTGCTTCATGCAAAACAAGACTATTTATTGATGATTGTGATGGCATTGATAAGATGTTAAGAATTTCTAACAGCACCTTAATGCAGTTTACATCAGAAATTAATAAGGTAAAATGAGTCAAAATTTTGTTTTTATAAAGTCACTAGAAAGGGCTTTGAATAAAGCTTTCAAAATAACAAAGAACCATGTCTATGGAAGATAATGAGTAGGTGCTTAACAAGTACTCTATTGTCAAAACATTGTGTTGGGGGCTAATAATAATGATGACACAGTGGCTAGGGTACTTGCCTTGCATGCAGCAGACCTGGGTTTGATCCCCAGCATCCCATATAGTCCCTGACAAGAGTGGTTCCTGGGCACAGGGCAGGGAGAAAAATTTGACAGGAGTGGTTCCTAGGCACAGGGCAGGGAGAAAATCCTGAGCACCACCAAATGTACCTTCGAGTTGTGTGTTAAAATATTTTGTGTAGTTGTTTGGGCAACTTTCTACAGGGTTAGGTTGTTTCAGTTAATCTTTAATTTGGGAAAAATTACTTGATTTTATTTAATTTGATTTAAACTCAAACAGTAAATGATTCTGTCATCTAAGCTACAGGAGAAAGTACAAGGAACTCTCAATTCCCACTTTCTGTACCTACACTTGTAACTGATCAGTTTTATTACCATTTATCATTTCATTGTTCCTTCTGAAATGCAGGTAGATGGATATGCATGTTCGTATTTTCTCCCTCTTATACAAATTATAACATACTATGTAGTCTCTTGATGTTTCTTATGCCTGTTTATTTAAAGCTGTTTTGAGTTAAAATCAAAAGTCTACGGATTGTATTTGATTGACATATAATAAAATACCTTAAGCAAAGAAGGAAGAATGATAATGTTGATGATGATGATGATGATGATGATGCTGCTGCTTATGGGGCAACCTGCTCCCTATCCCCCAATATCTTGAATATCTTGATGTAATTCTTATATTAAAAATCCCAAGATAAATATATATTTTAAGTTCATATTTATTCAAAATAAGGAAAATACATGTGCAATCAAATTATTGGTTATTTTTTAAAGTGGGCACTGAGAAGGAAGAGAAAATGGGTCTAAGGAAAAGTTTCAATTATTCTAGAGCTCCATCTAGTGAAAATTATCTGCTTCATGGATTGTGCTCTTGAAAAATTCTGGGACATGTCAATGAAAATAAAAATACTTTCTCACTGTATTTATGCATGTTTCGTGGAAGAAATGTTTTCTGACAGGTTGGGAAAAGGCAGAGGTTCACAAAATTGGAAAGAAAATATTATGTCAATGAAACCCTGTGTTACAATTTGTGGTTCATCCCAGAGTCAGTTGGGTGAAAGAGTTTTGATTTCAAAGAAGAGTGCCCACTTCCACTATTCCCCAGGGAAGACCTTTCCGCAGAGATAGTAAGTTACAATAGACCATGGCTCAGAACACTTACCTGCAGCACTGCCTCTCTTTCTTCATCAGAAACCTTTTTCATTGCTGCTTTTTTAAGGCATTCCTGGATGTAGTCATCATACTCCTCTTGGGCCTTCTTTACTTCCTGGTTGCGCTTAAAAATATACTCAGGTGTAACACCATAATCCTAGGGAATTTCAGGGAGGAGGAAGATCAATATCCTAAATGCAATCCTATTCCTATGTATATGTACATGTACATACTATGCAAGGCCTGGAAGGAAAAAACAGTGTTACAAACTTTAAGTCTTTGGTCAAGACACAGCAAATTGACAACACTCAATGACTCTTCTCTTTTGGAAACCAGCTGACTTTCTTAAATAGTCTGACATGTTATTGTACTTGTCTGTTTTCCCTCTGAATTGTTCCAGGGCCCGTTTTGGGCAGATGACTCCGCCCTTACATACCCACTCAGAGTTGCCTTCTCTTTACTTCTGTTCAGTGACTTCACACTTTTACCTTAAAATATCTTAAATAGCTTGGGGTTCCTTTTGCCTGTTCTTGTTAAATAAAAGATAAATGTTTCCCAAGTGTTATAAAAACAGATTCTTAAAATAGCCAAAGCTCATTGCCTTTAAGAGAAAACTGCCTTGGATCCCCCCTTCCCAACTCTTCTGGTTTCTGGAAATGCAAAATGTGTTTTTAGGCTCCCAGGCTGCATCAAGGTTTGACAGCTTGAGTCTTACAGATTAAAAGATGTACTTGCTATCACTGTGTAGAGAAACAGAAGCAGTCCTTGTGGAATCTTCAAAAAAATTATTTGAGGGGCTGGAGCGATAGCACAATGGGTAGGGAGTTTGCCTTGCATGAGGTCGACCCGGATTTGATTCCCAGCACCCATACGGTTCCCCGAGCACTGCCAGGAGTAATTCCTGAGTGCATGATCCAGGAGTAACCCCTGTGCATTGCTGGGTGCAACCCAAAAAGAAAAAAAAATTATTTGAGCATATACTTCTTGCTGGGCTTATCATTGAAAGAAAATAACCATGCATTTTATGGTGAAAGAAATTTGTCAAAAATGAGTGTAAAATAACATCTCTTAGTGATCTACAGTAAAACAAAAGAAAAACTGCAGAACAATGCCTTGTTTTAAGTTATTGCAACTTGTTAAGCCACCCCAATATGACTGAATGTGTTATGAAAACCTATGAAATCTTGCATAGATTTTCAAAACCCTAAGTGCACCTTAGTGCAATGGTTAACAGTGGCGAACAGTCATTATATTTCAGCAACCAATGAGAGCAACATCTCACTACAGCTAAGGACATTCGTGTTCAGAATGGTGGTTCTGAGTCATCACAAGAATGTTGGTTCTGAGTCATCACAAAAAAAGATGAATTTATATTTGGAATACTTTTTTTCTCCCTTCTAACTCCCCTTTTTTCCTCATTGAATCACCATGAAATACACAGTTACAAAGTTGTTTATGATTGTGTTTTAGTCATACAGTGTTCCAACACCTGTCCCTTCATCAGTGTATATTTCCCACCATCAATGTCCCCCGTTGCCCTCTCCAATGCCATGCCAGCTTGCCTCAATGGCAGGCACCTTTCTTCTCTCTCTCTCTCTCTCTCTCTCTCTCTCTCTCTCCCCTCCCCCATCCCTTTCTCGTGTTCTCTCTTTCCTTTTGGGCATTATGGTTTGCAATCAGGTACTGAAAGGTTATTATCTATATGCCTTTACCTACTTTCAGAACTCAGTTCTTGTTCAGAGTGATCACTTCCAATTATCATTGTCATAGTTATTCCTTTTCTATCCTAACTGCCCTCCCCGTCACCCCATTTGTGGTTTCCAATCATGGACCAGTCATTCCAGCCCTTGTGTCTACTATCCTTGTGTCTACTATCTCATACTATGAGACTAACACTCAAGGATAGACTAACACTCAAGGATAGTGTTACATCCCACAAGAGAGTTCAATCATTCTATGTCTGTCCCTCTTCGCTAACTCATTTCATTCAGCATGATGCTCTCCATGCTCATCCATTTATAAGCAAATTTCATGACTTCATTTTTCCCAGTGGCTGAGTAGTATTCCATTGTGTGGATATATCCTATTTTCTTTATCTAGTCATCTGTTCTCAGGCACTCAGTTGTTTCCACATTCTGGCTATTGTGAATAGTGCTGCAATGTATGTAGAAGTTCAGATGACTTTTCTGCATTGTGTTTTTGGGCTCCAAAGATATATTCCCAGAAGTGATATTTCTGGGTCATCTAGAAGCTCAATTTCTAGTTTTTTGAGGAATGCCCATACTGTTTTCCAAAAAGGCAGAATCAGTTGGCATTCCAACCAACAATGAGAGTCCCTTTCTCCCTGAATCCGCACCAGCACTGGTTTTTCTTATTATTTTTGATTTGTGCCAGTCTCTGTGGTGTGAGATATTGTTGTTGTTTTGATTTGCATCTCCTTGATGATTAGTGATGTAGAGAATTTTTCATGTGTCTTTGACCATTTGTATTTCTTTGGAGAAGTTTCTGTTCTTTTCCTCTCCCCATGATTTATACTATGTTGACATTGTACATAGGAAGGTTTTTAAGTTAGAGTGAACTCTACTCCTCTCTCTCACTTTGCTAATGATTTAGTCTTAAAATCTTCTGAAAGACTAGCCTTTCTGGAATGAAAACAGTGACTGTTCTCCATATAACATTTCTACCATACCAAGGTTTGTCATCATTGTTAAATACATTGTAGTGAATGAGATCACACAGGGGTCAGTGGCACATGCCCCTCATGCATGAGACCCTGGTCTGATCCCTGGTATCACATCACTCTGAGAACCACCACATGCAGCCATGGAGGCTCTTCAAGCACTCTCTAGCCAAGTATCACTGGGAGTGGCCCTGGATCCCTTGAGCACTGTTTGAGAGCACCATTCCCCCTCCCATGCAAAAACTAGAACTGTAGCACTGTAGCACTGTCCTCCCGTTGTTCAGCAATTTGCTAGAGCGGGCACCAGTAATGTCTCCATCGTGAGATTTGTTGTTACTGTTTTTGGCATATCGAATATGTCACAGGTAGCTTGCCAGACTTTGCCATGTGGGCGAGATACTCTTGGTAGCTTGCTGGGCTCTCCAAGAGGGGCAGAGGAATCAAACCCAGGTCGGCTGTGTACAAGGCAAATGCCCTACCCGCTGTGCTATTACTCCAGTCCGCAAAAACTAGATATTGATAAAAGAAACTAAGGGAAATAATTATGGTTTCTCTCTACTGAACTATATGCTGCTGTCCATTACAAATTCTTAATCATCACTTTAGATTTGCCCCAAAACAGATTACAGAGAGTGGGGATTGGTGATCTAAACCATTTATCCTATGATAACTCTATTGACAATAATATAGGCAATCATTATGAATGTCTGATTTAAAATTCTTATTGCAGGGGAAAACTGGGGCCATACTTGGTTCTGCTTTGGGCTTGCTCTTGTTTGTGTGCCCAGGGATCACTACTAGAGGGGCTCAGGGAACCAAATGTAGTATTAGGGATTAAACCCAAGTTGGTCATAAGCAAGGCAAGCACCTTATCCATTGTACTATCTGTCCAGCCCCAGTCTGGGCTTTAACTTAAATTAAGGGCTGGTCCTTGTTTAAGAACCAGAGAAAGAGTATAAAAATAGGGTGCTTGCATTGCTTGTGACCAACCCAGATTCAATACTTGGCATCCCATATGATCCCTTGAGCCCCACCAGGCGTGATCCCTGAGTGCACTGCAAGGAGTAATTTCTGAGCACAGCTGGTATGACCCAAAAACAAACAAAAAAAATCCCAGACATCTTTTTGATTTGCTCTTTTGTGGTGACCATACCTGACAGTGCTCAGAGACTACTCCCATCTCAGTGCTCAGGTCACTCTCAGCAGTGCTTGGGGCACTGTGAAGTGACACGGACTAAACCGAGGGCTCCTGCTTGAAAAGTGTGTGCACCAGACTTTGGAACATCCCCCACCCTCTCTCCTTATTACAGGCTTACCTTTTTATTGATATACTTTGGAATTAGTCCTGAGGTTTCAAGATTATGCCTGTCTCCGGTTCTGTTGTCAACATAAATCGGTTTTGGTTTCTTAGCGACTCCCATAATAATATCAGCTACATTTGTGCTTATAAAATTTTTTTCACTCTGTATTCCCATGACTGGATGTTCATCCCTCCGTGGCACAGGAGGCTTTTTGCCCACATGCAATGACGTTCTCTCAAATGATTTTTCTGTTTAGACATAGCACCAACTAGTTAGTTGAAAGTAGAAATATAGCACTTAGAAAAATTTATAAAATTCAGATGTTTTATCACCAGTGTTTTAAGGGGGTTTAAAAAGTTTTATTAATAGTATACTCAAATATTTAACATAAAAGATAATTATCATAAATGCAAAAACAAAATATAACAGATTCAGGTGAAAAAATTGAAGAACAATATTATAAACATGTAAAGAATAAGCTCCCCATTGTCACAAGTAGTGAAGGAAGGGCAGTGAGGACAGAGAAGGGACCGTTATGACAAGGATAGTTGGAAATGATCACTCTGGACAAGAACTGAGTGCTGAAAGTAGATAAAGGGACAAACATGATAAACTTTCAGAAAATGTATTGCAAACCATAATAAAAGGGGCACGGGGAAGTGTCTGCATAGAGGCAGGCAGGGTGGGAGGGACAGGAGAGAAACTAGAGACATGGGAGGTGGGAAATGTATGCTAGTGAAGGGACAGTATTGGAACATTGTATGACTGAAAGCCAGTCATGAAGAATTTTGTATGTGTGTCTTATAGTGATTCAATTTAAAAAAGAAAAAAAGAAGTTCCCTAAATCCAATGGAACAAACCAATAAATTTTGTTATCTATTGTGAAAATAATTTCTTGTAATGATGTCCACTATAAACATTCAGATTTCCCTCTGAAATAAAGAAATTGTATTCTGAGTACTATTAATATTACCGGTAGTTACTTCTTCAGGGAAGTTACCATAAAATCACTAAGTGAATAGATTAAATTTGGTTTATTATCAAGAGAGTCTATGGATTTTTCACTAGCATTTTTATATGGTTTACAATCATATTGTAGCACTGTCCTCCTGTTGTTCATTGATTTGCTCGAGTGGGCACCAGTAATGTCTCCATCGTAAGAGTTGCTGTTACTGGTTTTGGCATATCGAATATGCCATGGGGAGCTTGCCAGGGTCTTGCTGTGAGGGCAGGATACGCTTGGTAACTTGCCAGGCTCTCTGAGAGGGAAGGAGCAATTGAACCTGGATCAGCAAATGCCCTACCCGCTGTGCTATCGCTCCAGCCCTTACAATCATAAAATTAAAAAAAAAAATTAGTGACCCAACAGGTAGCTTACCAAAATTTATTAAAAAATTGCTAGTCAAAGTCTCCTGATCTCTCCTCCCTAAATGCAATGCACTTTGAAGAGACTTGGATTATCTTTTCAGTCATTTTGACATATTCATCTTCTATTGAGAGCCAAATCAACATATAAAATTTTAAATAATTATAAAATTCTATAATGTCAGGCCACAGCAATTGGGCCACATATGGTCCCCAGAGCCCACCAGGAACAATCCCTGACTGCAGAGCCAGGAGTTAGTCCTGAGCACTGCCGATTGTGTCAACCCAAAACAAAAATCAAACAAGTAAACAAAAAGTTATAAAGTCTAAAATACTAAAGCAAAATAATTATAATTTACTTCCAGGAACTAAAAAGAACAATCATCTCAACAATGTATCCCTCCATTCTTAACCAGATGAAACTGGACTTTGTAAGGAGTGGAATTCAGGGGCTGGAAAAATAGCTCAAGGTTTGGGATCCCAGCATTGCCTGGGTCCCCCAATTCTACCCCACACTGCAGGAAGCAAAGCCTGAATATAGAGCCAGAATAGCCCCTGAGCACCTCAGGACGTGGCCCAAACCAAAAATTAAAAAGAAAGAAAGGTGAAATCTATTTAAATTTTGTTATCAGAAAAAGCAATGTTTATTAGATTCTGTGAACTGGATTAATCTCTTGCAATGGACTGAATTTGTCCCCTTAATATTTGTGTATTTAAGACCTAATGCTACCAGACCTCAGGATGCAAAGGCATTTGAGACAGTCACGGTCACGGTCCTCCCATTGTTCATCGATTTGCTCGAGCGGGCCCAGTAACATCTCCACATAAGACTCGTTACTGTGTTTGGCATATCGAACACATCATGGGTAGCTTGCCAGGCTCTGCTGTGCGGGCAAGATACTCTCGGTAGCTTGCCGGGCTCTCTGAGAGGGGCGAAGGAATAGAACTCGGGTCAGCCATGTTGGCCGCTTGTAAGGCAAACGACCTACCACTGTGCTATCGTTCCAGCCCATACTTGAGACAGTATCTTTATGAACTACTTAAATGGAGATAACTTCAACGGCTGAGTACACACTTTTTATGTGGAAGACCCAGTTCAAGCTCAGGTATAGGGATATCACTGTTAAAAGAATGTACTTTCTTTCTAAGATGTTCAGGTTATTAGTGGTTGTGGATCACAGAACGCCAATATCCCACCTGAAGATACAAAACGGAGTTCAGAAGTCATAGATTTAAAGCAGGAAGGTTGTATTTTCAGACATGTTTCATCTAAATTTCCAGATGATGCCTTGTCAATTTTCAAGGCATCTGGGTTTCAGGGAGAATTTTTAAGTACATAAATTTTAGCTTTGGGAATAGTATTGCTTTTGTGAAAAGTTACATCCAAGCTGGAATTGAGATGTTGTATTATTTCTCTAATGCTAGAAGATACTAAAAGATCAATGTTTATAAAGCAATAGACTCTGGGGCCAGAAAAATAACTCAATGGGTTGTAATGCATGCTTCGTATGCGAAGGCCCAGGTTCAATCCTCAGCACCACATGGTCACCCAAGCACAGTTGGAAGGGACTCCTACCCCAGACTTGATCTGGGAGTAGCTCCTGAGCACTGCTGGGTGTGCCTCTACCAAAATAATGAAAAAGTAACAGATTGTGGGGCCACCATGATAGTATAACTTGTAGGGCATTTGCCTTGCATGTGGCTGTCTGAGTTCGATCCCCAGCATCCCATATTATCCCTTGAACACTACCAGAAGTAATTGCCGAGTAAAGAGCCTAAAGCATTGCCAGGTATGGCCCCAAAACAACAACAAAAAACAATAAACTCATTTATCTCTCCTTTTCATTGTTCTTAAACATCAGGGAAGTCATATCCAAGATGGAAAGATGACACTTATGCATAACTATCATAGTTCCATTTTCATTTATTCTCTGGTTTCCTGGAAGCCTCAAAGTTATGTAATCTATGATCATGAGTGATAGCACAGTAGTAGGGCATTTGCCTTGTGCACAGCCAGCCCGACCGAGCCGGGTTCAATTCCTCCACCTCTCTCGGAGAGCCTGGCAAGCTCCCGAGAGTATCTCCCCCTACAGCAAAGCCTGGCAAGCTAACCGTAACGTATTCAATATGCCAAATACAGTAACAACAAGTCTCAAAATGGAGATGTTACTGGGCCCACTCCAGCAAATTGATGTTCATGATAGCTTTCATAATTTGCAAAGTCCAATATAAAATGAAAATGTAAAAGGACACATTGAGGAAAATTTAGAGATATCAAGATGGCAAGTGCAGAATATTAAACCAAGCATAGGATTCTTCTAAACTTGGATCCCTCTAGGACTAAAATGGTAGTAGAGCCAAGAAACTGGCTTTGACTACCACTTATTCATAAGATCTTTTCCATTCCTTCTAACTCCATTTATGGTTCCAGTGATCTTAGAGAACTGGGAGAGTGAAGGCCTTCATTCAAGCATAAAGTTGTCCTGATAGTCGTTTCTGCAATGCACAGTAATAGCTCTAATTTTCATGTCTTGGAGAAAACAGTTGGGGTTTAGAAGCCTGGCAATATTGCCCACTGGAACTTAAAACCCTTCTTCTAATTGCTTTCAAATGAAGTCATATGGCTAATGTCTAAGATGATCAGCCATGTGGTGTTGAAAGTGTAGCTTTACAGGAGAGTCCAAGATATAGTCCAAGACTCTTGCTTTAGCAAAAGGAAAGTGGAGTAACATCTTGTTGGAGTAACAATATGTTCACTATTCTTTTTACATCATATTTCTATTTTCCTCTAGCTTCTCACATTGCTATTATTTTTTAAAAAAATTGGGGGCCATATCTGGTGGTGGTCAGGGGGATCATATGGTATAGCAGGGATCAAACCTGGGTTAGCTGCATGCAAGGAAAATACCCTACCTGCTGTACTATTGATCCATCCCCCTCTCAAATTTTGTTTATCTGAAGTAAAGTAGTAATCATTTTTCTACTTAATATTCAGACAATAATTGTATTTAAAATTACAAAAATATTATATAATATCAACGTGATTATATAACTTTACACGTTCTTATTAAATGCCGCTTAATTTTTTTAAAGTGGGAAAACATACTTGGTGGTAATGCTTTGTCCTTTGAATGTTTCTTCAGGAAATCCTTTGGAGAAGGTAGTTCAACTTTTGCTGGTCCCATTGTTTTCATTGCACTTTTAGATTTTTTCAAGTCATTCTTTATAGCTTCCTTAAAAACCGATGCATACCTAAAATTAAAAAAGTTGGAGTCTTTATACTCAAATAAAATTATTCCAAGCTTTAAAGATATATTAAAGATATTTTTCTAATTTATGTATCTATATAAATTATAACACTGGCTTCATTAAGTTCTGTTTTGGCATCAGGCCATTGGTTTATAGTATGAGCAACATTGACTCTATGGAACCAGTGCATTTAATGTAATGTTATTAAAATCTTAATTTCTTACACTATTCTCATTGTCTCCCTTGCTCTGTGATCTAAGGAGGAAGCATATTTCTCATTTCACACCAAGAATTGGTATCAGCCACTTCTTTGCTTTTGTCTTATGGAAAATGTGACTTAGGGTATAACTGATCTTCAAAGGATCATTTTTGTGCATAAAGACCTGATAAAAGATCAAATATCTGAAAACAAAGAAAATGTCCTTAAAGATTTAAGTAAGTTTACTCAGATTCAAAGGTAGTATACAAACTGGTTTAAAATTATGGGTTTTGAATTCTGTGACAATCTCAGTTCTTGTTTTCCCTAGTGACCTTGGATTTCTGGGCCTAAGTTCCTTTTCGGTAACATTGGCAAGTTTTTACTCATCTCACAGTGTTTTGTGTTAACTAGGTAAAATGATGCAAGAGAAAAGCATAGAATAATACTTGGAGGCAGGTGTTTTCAAGCAGTGCTGGGGATCCAGGGACAACTCCATGAGATACTTGACCATGAGATACTTGGTTAGAAGGTTCAGTACTCAGCCTTATTGATCTAATGCTGGCACAGACAAGTGCTCAGGGAGCCACCAGTCAGTCCCCAAAGTAGCTTGGGAGATCCAGTGGCTTCCTGCGGACCATGTTATTCCAGGGCGCAAACTCAGGGCTTCATTTATGAAGGCAAACATTATAGCCCTATGAGCTATCACTTCAATCCTTTGCATAATTGTTAAGAATAGTCGCAGTATTTTTGTTTCTTTGTTTGTTTGCTTGGAGGGGAGGGATACCCAAGCAGTACTTGGGATCAATCTCAGGCCTCCATTATGCATATATAGGCTCAACCCATTGAGCTATCTCTCAGGGTCTGGCAGTCAAGTGTCAGTCTTAATGTTATTATACTTGGACATTCATCTTGCTTAAACTAAAAAAAAAATCTTAAGCCCTTTCCTCAATTTTACTGTGTCCTAGAAGGCACACTCACATGCTCTGGAAATTCAAGTTAAATGATTATTATTATAGACAAATACATACTGAAAAACTTTTCTGATTTGTAATAACCAGATTCCCATAGTATGATATAGTATGTTAAATGCTTAAGATACATTGTTCTCTAATAACATAAACTTTCTAAAAATGAGTCTAATACTTGTAAAAGTTAAATTTTATACACCAACTTTCCTGGCAATTAATTGTCAAACACTTTTGGTATATTTATTTTCTACAGTTTTAGGGATAAGAGAAATGTGCAAATATTCCACATTACGTCTGTAGAAAATTTAAATGTGTAGCAGCAATAGCCCATGATGAACAAAAGCTAGTCATTCATATAAAACTGCAATTTTTCTGGGTGACAAAAAGCCCTACTTGTAGGTATTGTTGTACCCAGGCACAGTCTGAAATGAAAGGTGCCTTTTTTAATTATCCCATTTCCTAGGACTTTGATTCATCAACACTTTCAAGGTAATTCTACTCATGCTAACTCATTTGCTGTTAATGAGCTTCCTTTCCTTGGTGACTTAAAAATCCTTATGAGCTGTGAAGTTTATATCCAGAATGACTAGTATTTAGGGAATAGAGAGATAATAAAGTGGGCTGGGTGCTGGCCTTGCAGCTCCAGCACCCCGTATAGCTCCCTGAACCCCAGCAGGAATAATTCTTGAGCACAGAATCAGGAGTAAGTTTGAGCATCACAAGATGTGGCCCCCAAACAAAAAGAATAGCATTAGAACACTTTGATGAAGTAAAGTGACAAAGAAGTCTTCAGAGATTATATCATATGGGAAATATTAATAACCTATGTTAATAATAATTATTTATAATATATCATAGAACTCTTTCTAGGGACCAGAGACATGTTCCAAGGGTCGGAGCACATGTTTTGAATGCAGGAGCCCTAAATTTGGTCCCTGACACCACAAAGTACTCCAATTTTGTTTGTACCCCCAATTCTCTCACCCCCAAAAATATCACTTTCAGAAACCATTTATTGCAGCGTAGAGGAATTTCAATATAAAAATTCATTGTCCGGGGCCTGAGCAAAGTCTGGGGCCTGAGCCTGTCTGGGTCCTGATAGTATAACGGGTAGGGCATTTCCCTTCTACTCTGTCATCCTGGGTTCAATCCCCAGCTCCCCCTATAGTCTCTAAGTTCTCCAGGAGTGATGCCTGAATGCAGAGGTAGGTATAAAACCCGAACACCACCAGTGTAGTCAAAAATCCAAAAGGAAAAAAACCCCCACAAACTTCATTATGCTAAATACCAAGACTTTGCAATTTGTTGAATTTTTTTTCTTTTTGATGATGATCACTTGAAAAAGTAATCTTTGCTTACCCACATACCTAGGAGGCTGACGAGGCTCCTTCCAGTCACAGGGTATGAGGTTATAAATGCTCTCAGAAGGGCACGTTGGATCCATGACCACCAAGGAACTTCTTAAGAAGTGTACAATTTTTTTCTTACTCTACCAGTATTTCCCTCTCTTTCTTAACCGCTTCCTCCCTTTCCTCTTCTACTCTCTCGCCTTCCCAAGAAACTAAAATTTCTCTCTTTCAAATAATTCCCCTTTGACCACTTCTCAACAGTCCCCCATTGGGAGGAAAAGAAAATACCCCTTCTATTCCTCTAGGTCCAAGGGTTGCTTAGCGTTGTTGGCGGCGCTGTCGCCATAGAAACTGTTGCTAGGCGACGAGAGATGTAAAGGTTGAGATGCAAACTAGGTTTCCTCGGATTCCCTCAGCGCCTTCTAAGGAGTTCCTGAAGGAAACCATGACACATATGGGCCTTGGGGAGATAAAAAGTAGGGCCCACTTAGATTTTTTTCTCTTTTTCTGTCTCTATATATTTGGAGAAAAAGATATCGGCCAAGATAGTCTGAAAACTGATGCGAAAGCGTCACACAATAAAGCTCTGTTTGCGAGTCCCGACCACCCCCGCAGGGGCGGGACGAACGGCCGAGCTCAACGACGCACAGCCAATGACGAGAGCGAAACGACAAGGGGAGGCGGGGCCTCAGGAGCTACATCGACTTGGTGGGCGGAGCGCTGGAACCCAGTCACGAATCCCGCGTGAGGCTACTTGGGGGCGTGGGCGTGTCGTGCCGCAGCGGCGCAGGCGCAGAGGCTGCTGCGCGAGGGGGCGGGTCGGAGCCCAGGCGGCTTCGAGCGTGGGTTGTGGGGACCCGGGACTAGCGCCTGAAGTGCGGGCGTCCGTCCCCGAGACGACACTTCGCGGTTCCTGGACTCTTCCTTCCCACTTCCTCCCCCTTGTCCCCGTCTTCTCAGTGTGGTTTTCTTGGTGAGTTATTTGAGGAGAAAGAAAGGAACCTGCAAACGGCTCCCGAGCATGCTTCCCGGCCCTCACCTCCCCTTCCCGTGGCCCCGCGCACCCGCGCAGGCTCGGGAGCGGCCGGAAGTGCCGCCCACGCCCACCTGTCGCGCCGTGACCCCGCGCCCTCCCCGCCGCCCTTCCCCCCGTGCTCGGCCGGCCTCAGCCGCCCTCCGCCGCGCTCTGTCCAACTTCCCTTCGGGCCTCTCCTTCGTCTTGGCTCCCTTGACATGTGGACTTGGCATCCCGGCGCGTGAGCGTCACCCGGAAGGAGAAACCGTTGAAAGGGCCTTGGGTTGCTCTGGGTCCGGCGTCTCTTGGGGGGAATTTCCTTCTGTTGGGAGCTGCGTCCCCTCCCGAGCTGGCCAAGGCGTTAGAGAGGACAGTCCGCTAATTCGGTTGGGAAAAGGGGTTAAGACGAAAAGTTCCGCCCCCCTCCCCAGAGGCCACTTTGACTGGGGGGAGCACAGATGTCAAGAGCACCCCGATTTTGAACTGCCCTCTGGCAGGCTGCTGAGACGAATCGAGGCATGGTTACGTCTTTTTTTTTTTTTTTAATTCTGCCTAAATAGGTTAGCTTCTTGGATAGGTTTGACTTCTTTGGGGGCCAGATGAATTTCATTAGATAATAAATTTTTAAAAAATCAGATTTAAACGATTTTTTAAAAAAAAATCACAGGTTTTTAACGATTCTTTTCATTTCAGAGGAATGACACCTAAAGGATGATGCTCCGGTTTTCTTTGCATGCGTTGGAATTGTTTTCCAAAACAATTTGATACGTATATACCACTTGGCCCGTTGCGTTTCTCCTTTGAGGATACTTTGTTTGGGATTTTGTGGTTAGTTAGCCTGTATAGAGAAAAATTCGCTGGGGAGCTGTTCCCAGTACATGATAAGGTGAACTAAGGGCTCAGAATGATACTGCGAGTCACTGGCAAAGCTTACAGATTTTTTCTAATTAGTGGGAGCACGTTGGGACTTTGTGCAGTCATTAAGAGCAAAGCATCATTTCTCCACTTAGTAGGCACCAACTCGCCTCTGCTAGAATTGTATTCCTCGTATTACTGAATACAGTCATTCCACAAGGCTGATGTATTGATTTTGATTTACTGAAACACCTTAGCATCACAACAGTAGCATGTTTAGCTTAGGGTCACAATGAAGTCGTTAAATCATGGGAAACAACTTTACCTAGTTAGTAATTTTGCTTGCCTTTTGAAAGTGTTTACAAAGGACATCTCATTTCTGCTATTTACTCAGAATGATGATATTGTTAAAGAAAATTTTTGTTCCCGTTTGCATAAAACACTTTAAAAACACCGTTCTCCCATTGTTCATCGATTTGCTCCAGCGGGCCAGTAATGTCTCCATTTTGAGACTTGTTACTATGTTTGGCATATTGAATATGTCAAGAGTAGCTTGCCAGACTTTGCTGTGTGGGCGAGATACTCTCGGTACCTTGCAGGGCTCTCCAAGAGGGGCGGAGGAACCCAACCGGGCTCAGCTGGGCAGGCTGCACACAAGGCAAATAACCTAGTACTGTGCTTTCTCCTTTGCATGCAGGGAATTGATACTGGTATACCGTCAGAAGATAAGGAAATTTCTCTGAAAGGGCTAAATATAAGTTAGGCCTTTGTAGGTCAGGTGGTTTCTCCTGCTTACATTGTAGCTCAAAAGCAGCCAAAGGTGATACCTTTGAGTAGTTATGTACCCATGAACTTAAACTTTCAAAAAACCCTTCAAAAAACCCTGTAATTTGTCTAGTTTGACCTTTGGGCTACACTTTGCATGAACACTTGAATAATTTTGCATACAAGTAAGTTTTCCCTTTTTTGGCTAAAGATGTTTACCTGTTTAGAAGAATAATGTAGCACTGTAGCACTGTCTTCCCCTTGTTCATCGATTTGCTACAGCGGGCACCAGTAGAATAATGTTTTATATATATATATATATATATATATATATATATATGAGACAACTGGGAGGAAAGTAAACCCTCGAGAGACATGCTGTACAGTATTCTTATAGGTTATAGAATTTATACATTCATATAGGTTATAGAATTAAATACATAATAGCCTGCAACAAAAAAATAACAGGAAAAGCTTTGGAAATAAGAAAATAAAAAGTCACAGATAAGTGGTGGACTTGTGAAATTGTGCTTTTCATTGTAGGGCTTGGCATCATCTGCTCCAGAGAGGGAGGAGCTGATTTGGACTCAGGGCTTCCTAAGAGGTTTTGCTTGGTAGTTGAACACAGATCATCACTTCTCCTTGGCTAGATTATGCCCTCTATAATTTCAGTAGTTGAAAACTCTGGTAGAATTGAAGTAATTTAAAACGCTTATTTTTTTTACCATGCTCAATTCAGCCTAATCAATGACTGAACAAATAGTAATGCTCCTACATTAAAAAAAAAAACAACACTTTTTTTTCAAAACCAGGATCTATCTATGTAAGATAATAATTGAAAATTCTGATAATGTTCAGGAGGTTGCATTACTAAAATGACAAAACCATAGAACTTTTTACAGAAGTTCATTCCAGTTCACATCATGAAATAATTTTCAGAGTTCCATGTCCTGTTTTATCTTGGAAGAGTATCTGATTACAAATATTTTAAATTGGTGATTTGCTAAATCATTTTGTTGAAATGGGGCTTTATCAGTTTCCTGAGAGAATTGAATGCTAGGTGATTTTATAAATTAAAATGTTTTCTTAGCCAATCTTGAAAATATTCATAATAGAATATTTGATTTTTGATTATCAGTGGCGAAGTAGCAAAACATTAAGCAAGCATGTGTTTTGGAAAAGAACTATATATCTCTAAAATAACTTAGCATGATTAGGAAATGTATTTAAAAACCATTTTCTGTAGTTTTTCCCCTTATAAATTTTTTATTCTGTTTTGATCAGTTTGCCACAATAAAATTGTGAAATTCTGTGTTTGTGGTCACACTGGTACTTCAATTAATTACTTATGGTCTGTGTTTTTTAAAGTTTTCGCTATGACACTAACATCTTTATCTTTTCACTGATCTGTTTAAATAGCAAGTGTCTTTTATGTTTAAAATATATTAGCTGGAATGAATAGGTTAAAACCCTCCACTTAAGTCAGAAAACTAAAAATCACTAATAGTGGGGCTGGAGAGATAGTATAGGCGATAAGTTGCTTGTCTTGCATGCTGCTGTCCCTGGCACCACATAAGGTCCTCAACCCTCCTCCCCCATCAGCACCACGGGATTACTCCTGACCACAGATCTAAGAATAGCCCGAGCACAGCTGGCCACTGTAGAAACCTCCCCCCCCCCCCCCCACACACACACCTGTCTTTCTCCCCCTACCTCAGTCAACGATGTGTGGATCAGAGAGAGCTCAAAGGACTGAGTGCCATATCCCTGAGTGCCTGAGTATTGCCAGGTATGACCCAAAAACCAAAATATAATTTTAAAAAATCACTAATGTGTAATGGAGTTGTATACATCTTTTGTATTTTGAGAAGTTACTAACTAAATTTTATTTTTTTATAGAACTTGGCCGTAAAAAGAAATGTTGAGGCAGCTGGAGCGATAGCACAGCGGGTAGGGCGTTTGCCTTGCCCATGGCCAGTGCAGGTTCGATTCCCAGCATCTCATATGGTCCCCTGAGCACAGCCAGGAGTAACCCCTGTGCATCACTAGGTGTGACCCAAAAAGCAAAAAATAAATAAATAAATAAAATTTTAAAAAGTTGAGCTCTTTAGTATTACAATAAGCCTGAATACTTTATGGCCTCGGAGAGCCCGGCAAGCTACCGAGAGTATTCAATATGCCAGACACAGTAACAACAAAGTCTCCAATGGAGACGTTACTGGGCCCGCTCGAGCAAATCGATGATCAACGGGAGGACCTTTACCTTTACCTTACCTTTACTTTATGGCCAAGAGATTTGATCCTTAGATATTTTTCTCCTTTTCTGACACATAATCGGAAATGATTTTATAAAACCTTTGACTGAATTTATCCAGAACCATTTAATGGAAAAACATACCAAAATATTAATAAATGAAACATGTAAAAATGACTTGGAAATATTTTAGAAGTGATTTGTAGCTACATGTTTGTCATTTCTGCTGATTTATATTTGTTTATAGCCCTCAAATTGGTGCCTACAGTACTTTGGACATGCACCTTCACAGACATGTACTTGAGGATGAGAAGTTTGTGTTACTGTTTGCATGTCCACAACTGAGATCAGATAAGGTACTCTTCCTTCTTGTCTCAGCTCTCATCCTGTAAACAGATGTTCCTTTTCCTTTCTATTCAGTGGCATGTAATTTGCGTTTTTTGTGCCTTGGTTTTGATGTTTAATAGGCCCATAATCAGATGCTGGAGTGCTGCCTATTTTTCCTAA